ACAAGTATGTTCCTTCCCAACACTGGACACTGGTGTCCACCGTGGAGGATGGTGGGGACGGGGTGAAGGTGGATATTGAGTGGGTCACGTAGTTTCAACATATTTCTGCAGAGAAAGCACTTGCAAAGGTTTGGATGGGTGACAGGGCAAAATTGGAGAATATTATGTTCCCAAACAGTTTGCTGTGCCTGGAACGAATGCTGGTCAAGACAAGGAAGAGACCAAAAAATGATCATCTGGGATGAGGATGGGAAAGGCCTTGAGCCAGGCTCAAGGGCGGGGGCTCCGCCTGCAGTCCTGCTGACATGTGGCCTGGCAGTCACAGCTGGGGCCATGTGATTCATATGGACCTGGACTCGAATTCCAGTTCTGCCACTTGGGCAAGTCCCTTAAGCTCTGTCTTAAGGAGTTCCCGCTGAAGCAGGCCCTGAGACTTGGGTGCTGGGACTAAATTTGGGAAGTGATTTTAAGAAGCAGAAGTGAAGGCTAAGAAAGTAATAGGGGGCACATCAGTGTGCAGTTGTCCTTCAGGTTGAGTCCCAGCCTGGAGCCCGGGGAGAGGTGTGAGCCCCACCTCAGAACCACGCTATCTGAGCTGGGGGAGGATGGGCTGGGTACCTGCTGGGAGCCATTAGCCAAGTAGGTATGACAATTTCCTTGCCAGCGTACCCCATGTTGCTGACATGTTGCAGTGACATTGAATGTAAGTGACCTTGCTCAAGGACCAAGGCAGATTAGGGTGTTCCCGGTTTTAAGATAATCTTGTTTAGGGCGTTCCCAGTTTAGGTTCCAGGTTTAAGGTTTAAGATTATTCCTGCTGGGAATAGGGCGTATCCTGCTGCCTGAGTTCCCCTTGAGTTCTCACGGGATTCAGACAGTATATTTTGGAGATAGAAGCCCAGTGGAGGTGAATTTGGGCAGAGAACGTGGATTTGGGCAGAGAACGTGGATGTCCCCAGAACGTGATTGTAGACGGCTGGTGTGAGTTCGGGAATAAAGAGTTGCTGTTTGAATCTACAAGCTGTGTGGTGGCTCGTGATTGTGTGCCCAGCCAGACTGCGGCATTTGTGCCCAGCCAGACATTGGCAGGTACCAACTCGCTTGATGGTTGAAGGTGGCCCTTGGGGTACGGGACACCTCTCCCTTTTGCCTGGTCCCCAGATGCCTGAGCTGAATGAAGCAGGATCTTGAGTTGGCAGCTCAGCTCGCTAGAGGCAACCACAGGGGAACAGAGGAGGAACGAGGGTGGGGCAGCTGTCAACAGCACCTTCTGTTACCTCTTTGAGCATCTGTCTTCTCATCTGAAAACACAGGAAGAATTTTTTTTTCATCTGAAAATGGGAAGACACACTTCACAGGAGGATTCAGTGAGGAAACACACTTGAAAGGACCTAATGAGATGTGTGACACATGGTGAATCATTAATACGTGGTAGATACGCTGGGCTCAGCTCAACCACCAACTTCTCAGAAACTCCCTCCCTGACATCCTGTGGAGAGCGGCTTGCTCCCTTTGTTCTCCACCAGGACGTCCTGTTTTCTACAGAGAATGCATGACAGCATGTAACTAACTGTCTTGGTTAGATGCTGTTTATTTCATCTGTCTTTTCTCACTAGAATGAAAGCAGCATGAGGACAGGGAGTCCATCTCTCCTATCCATTGCTTTACACCCAGCCCTGGGCCCAGTGCCTGGGGCATACTAGGTGCTCAATAAATCTTTTTTGAATGGAAGAATTATTGCAGAAACAATAAAGAAAGATAGCTACTGTTCTTGACCTTGTACTAAGCACATACTCTGTTAATAACAAGTTCAAGAGGATCATCTGGACTCTAGCTGGGTCCCCGTGCTGAAAATAGTAGGTACCGCTCCAGTCAGAGTGACTCAGGTCAGTTCCTGCATCCTGGTGCACTGCCCACTAACTTCTAGGCTGCAGTGCAAGAACTTGTAAGAGCACTGAGCGGCTTCAGCTTAGGACATGGGTGTTTGGGGAACACTTGTTTGAAGGTAGAATTTTAAAAGAATAAAGTATAATTTTGCCCTTTCTCACCATCAGTGATGAGAAAGCTAATGAAGTTTAAGCTTCAGAGCTCCTTGAATGTGTTCATGTGAGGCTCATGTGATTTGCAAATTTAGTAAAAATAAGTGATTAAAATGGGGATTCAAGTTGGGTACACCGGTAATCCCAGTGACTTGGGAGGCTGAGGCAGGAGGATCACAAGTTCAAAGCCAGCCTCAGCAACTTAGTGAGACCCTATCTCCAAATAAAATATCAAAAGGGCTGGGGATGTGGCTCCATGGTTAAGCACCCATGGGTTCAATCCCTGTTATCAAACAACAACAACAACAACAACAAAACTTGGGATTGAACACAGGTACACTACATTCCCATGAGCTACATTTTCAGCCCTTTTTAATTTTTTTTATTTCAAGACAGGGTCTCACTAAGTGGCCTAGGCTGGCTTCAAACTTGCAGTTTTCCTGCCTCAGCCTTCCAAATAGCTGGAATTACAGGTGTGCACTACGGGGCCCGGTTTAAAATTATTTTTCTTAAAGAGCGTGCTCTCAAAATTGTATAAGCTTCAGCCCCACAAAACCTAGATCCACTTCTGTCTTCCATAAAACCCAAGAAACCAGGGATCCATGGGTTTTAGTCCATTTCATAACTCCACAACGGGAACACTACTGTTATCCCAGTGGAAGAAATGGAGGCTTAGATGGTAGTCCTTGCCCCAGGCCTCAAGGCCAGTAGGTGGCGCAGCTGCACATTCAACAGTCTGGGGCTGGGGTGCAGCTCAGTGGAGGAGCATGCGCTCTGTAGGCAAAGGCCCTGGGTTCCACCCCAGCACTAGGAAAAGTCTCAATCTCTTGTCTCCAGATCTGACCCTTAGTTGTCCACCTTCCCCACTCACCATGAGGTCTCCAAGGACACAGGACAAATCACTGATATACACCTGGCCACCAGCCCAGAGGAGGAGGCACCAACACAGGTTGACAGGTAAGAAAGAGAAAAGCAGCCTGTGATCCTGGCACCCAGCTGGCTTCAGTGTTCCCCTGTTGAACCCAAATTTCACAGAGAATCAGTGGCAGATAAAGCCACTCAGCGACTGTGATGGGTCATGACACAAACGGGACACTCTCTTATGATGTCTAGCATGGACAAAACATGAACATTGTTTAAACCAGAAAAAAAAAAAAAGGATCAGCCATCCCTTTTCATTTTTTATTTTGAGACAAAATCTCACTACATTGCTAAGCAGATTGCTAAATTGCTGAGCCTGGCTTGGAATTTGTGATCCTCCTGCCCCAGCCTCCAGGAATAGAAGATCGAAAGAAACGACCTCCAGCTGTCCCGCTCATGACAAGGGACTCTGATTTGTCATGAGTGTTCTAGGCCAGCTACACAGCCCCTATCAGTTAGCCAAAGGCTAACTGTTCTGATTCACACTAAGCTTTTTATGTATTGTGGCCTGTGCCACCAACTACAGCTTTAATCAAATCCGGGCTTAGTCACCATAGTGCAGTATGTCATCGCCCTCCTGATGACTTTATCTTGACTCCCAGAAAGATGGTGGTGGTGAGAGTGTTCCAGGAGAGAGAAGCCTAAAGAAACCTAGAGCGGAAACTAGACACTGGTGAATTTTGTGGGGACGTGGATAGAGCATATAGAGGACTCCTGATCTCAAGGAGCTCACAATCCATTGGAGAGTTAAGACCTCCAACCTGATAGATGTCGCAGGTAGTGAGGATAAAGCCTCCAAACAAAAGGTGCATGCAAATGTCCCAGCAGAGATACTCTGGGACAGGGAAGCTTCATGGAGAGGGGGAACTTGGAGGAACTTCAAAGGCAGAACAGGATTAGAGGGTCTACCAGGCAGGGCAGAGTACTTGGTGGTACCAGGGTACCTGATGGAGGGGGACAGCCTGTGCATCCCGAGAATTTGGAGGGGAGACAGTAGTCGCGGACAGGGCAGTTGAAGCTGGGAGAGGCTTCTGTCTGGGAGTAGCAAAGAGCAATGCCAACAGGGTGCGGTTAGGAAGGACCTTGAAGGCCAAGCTAAGAAGTTGGGACCTCATTCATAGGTCGTGGAGAGCTGTTGAGTTTCTGAGCGGCACGAATGATCCGAGTTTCTTATGGAAGTTTGCCGGTGGGGCCCTGCCTACCTCTCCCATGCACCTCCCCCGTTTAGTCCCTCACACTCTGTGCTCTGGCCAGCAATGAACTTTCCACGCAAACTGTCCTAGGCACTCTTCGCGCTCCTGGTACTCCCAGCTAAGTTCTTGGCATTAGGTCTCAATTTTCCCATCCCTTCCTCTAGGGAGCCTTGGGGACACAGCTTTCCCCCAAGCCTGGGCAGGTGCCCCACATCAGTCCCCCACACTCGCTGTTTCTCCCATTATTAGAGTGCGTGTCGCTGTGTTGTCATTATTCCTTTGTCTGAATCCTCTGCTAGATGGGTTCCGTTGAGGCTAGAGACCGCATCTCATTCGCCAGCGTGTCCCTAGGAATCAGCATAGGGCAGTAAAACGGGGATGCACTGAGGGGTTGGACCCGCTAATCTCGCAGGTTCCTCCCTGGTCGGGTCTCTAGGGAGTCTCTTGCGAAGGACAATGGAAATTAAAGGTGTCAACAGGTGTAGGCTTGTAGGGAATGTGCCCTTAATTGGAATGATCAGTCTCATCTCCAGGAAGCAAAATTTATGGAAACAAAGAACCTCCTCCCCACCTCCCTGGGAGTAAAGCGAAGCCAGGGCTGTTTCCAGGCACGCCCGCGAACTATTTGAGAGACCTTCAGGCGGAGGGTTACTCACTGGGACTATAAACAGTAACCCTCCGCTCGAGACCACCTCGCCGCGGTTTCTGCTCAGACCGCCAGGGGGAGGAATCGCACCGCACCCTGGGCCTTGGGCGGTTTCGCCCATCCGCGGGCACGTCGGGCTCTGGGAATTGTAGTCTTAACGGTTGCGATGCTCGAGATGGCGCGGTGCCCACCGGGAATTGTAGTTCAGCACAGAGAGGCGGGAAACGCTCTTAAAAGCGTCCACGTCGAGTCCTGGAAACTACAATTACCAAGGGGCCATAGGACCCTGGGCGGTTTCTCTTTTCCGTCGAGTGAAACGTCTGAAGTTGCTTCTGAGGGATCACCTTGACTGGGTAAGTTGGTTGGAGAAAGTTCTCGTGGTGAACTGAGCTGGCTGCAGACTTTTTCGTACGCCAGCCCGGTTTGGGGCTCCCTTGCCTCTCGATGCCGGGAACCGCACCTTGACCTTTAGTCTTCGTGCCCCCCCCCCCCCGTTCCCTATTCAGACACCTCTGGTTCCCCACCCACACGCTAAATCCTTGCACTGTCAAACTCGCGCGCCCCGAAATTGTTTCTCTCGGCGCAGCCTCGCGCTCTGTGCGCTTCGCCCCGTGGTTTTCAGGCAGGTGGGTGGGTCCCTATTTCTTTTTCGCTTTGCCGTGAGCTTTAAGTCGGCCAGTGTGGTTCTCATCCAGCCCAGCCTCTCCCTCTGTGACCTCCCTGGGACCCGCTTTCTTCCTCTCTAAACTGGAGGTGGCCGTCAGCCTTAGGGCGAGGTTGGGTTGTAGAGCTGGCCGGGGTGTAAGTGGATCTGTAAACCGTCAGGTCTCCGCAAACGACATTTATCGCGACCTCATCGAGGCTGCTTTTCTGGACCCAGCAAGCTTGTTGCTCAAGCGCGTCCTTTTGAACCCGATGTCTCCATTTAAAAGCAGGGTGAGATTTCCTCACTTCCTCCAGAGACCGAAGGTCACACAGTGAACTTTTAGTATCCCAGGGGCCCTTGTCTGAAAGGAAGGCTGCTAGAGAGGCGCTTATCTTGGATTCTGTCCTGAAATAGCCAGTGATGAAAGGTTCACCCAGCTGGCAGAGAGGCCGTCCCTACTCCCTAGAAGCAGGGCCCCAGCAGGAGGACAGCTGCAGCGTAAGCCCTGTCGATGCCCTTTGAGCTCTCTGGGGCCTGAGTAGTAACTCTGGCTTTGGCAGGGTGACTGAGACCTGAGAAATCCACTTTACTGAAGGGTATAATCCAGGAAAAATGAAAGAGACCTTGGCTGGGTATGTTGAAAGAGAGACTTACCGTTGTTAACGAGTTAGTTCCTGACATTTTGTGAGTACTTAAAATATACCAGGCCCTAGGCAATATCAGTTTACTCATTTAAATTTCACTTATGAAATGTCCCCATTTTACATATAAAACAACTTAGGCTCAGAGAGGCCATGTAGTTAGTTAAAATAACTGTAGGTATAGCTACCTTCCGTGGCTCTACTGCTGTCTGAATGTCAGGGGCTTCACATATATTACTTAATCCTCTTCAACAGGCTCATGAGTAGTGTTATTTCTATCATGTGGTTAATTCTTAGAGGTTTAGAGTTTAAGGAACTTGCCCAAGATCTCACAGCTGCCAGGCATGGTGGCGCACGCTTGTAATCTCAAGGGCTCAGGAGGCTGGGGCAGGAGGATTACGAGTTCAAAGCCATTCTCAGCAATTTAGTAGGCCCTGTCTCTAAATAAAATATAAAAAAGAGCTGGAGATGTGTCTCAGTAGTTAAGCACCGCTGAGTTAATCCCTGGTACCAAAAAAAAAAAAAAAAACCCTCATAGATAAGAACCAGAGGAATTCAGTTACCAGAGCCTTTCTTTTCCTACTATGCCATATAGTTTTATTTTTAGATAAAAAAATTTAAAAAGAATTGAGGGGTCTGGGGTTGTGGCTCAGCGACAGGGCACTTACCTAGCATATGTGAGGTGCTGGGTTCAACCTCAGCACCACAGAAAAATAAAAATAAATAAAGGGATTTAAAAAAAAACATGGATAAATGGTTTGGCCTACAAAGAAGTATAAAACAGTCTTTTTAAATTTTCTTTTAATTTTTTAGTTATAGTTGGACACGATACCTTTATTTTATTTATTTATTTTTATGTGGTGCTGAGGATCGAACTCAGGGCGTCGCCTGTGCTAGGTGAGTGCTATACCACTGAGCTACAACCCTAGTCCAAAACACAGTCTTTATCCCTGGAATATATCTAAAAGTTTTAACTGTGGGAAAATTTAAAGAACATTCATTGAATAAATTAATTATTGAGACCAACTGTGAAAAGGGCACTACATTAAGCCTAGTGACTGGTAGGAACTTACTTTTGGGGTGGCCATTGGCGATTATACCCGGTAAAAACTTAGTCATAAAAATCAGGAGACAAGAATACAGGGTACTGTCAGTGTTCATTGCATGCACACAGGTCTGAACAGAAAAAAGACCTCTCACTATCTAGACCAGGTGATTAGAAATACCAGGAAGCTTTTAAAAACTAATTGGGGGCCAGGCATGGTAATGAATGTCTGTAATCCCAGTGACTCAAGAGGCTGAGACAGGAGGATCATAAGGTCAAGGCCCTAAGCAACTCAATGAGACCCTTCTCCCCCCCCCCCCCCAAAAAAAACCCAAACTAATTGGGGGCTAGGGTATAGCTTAGTGGCAGAGTGCATGCCAAGCATGGGGGCTGTGGTTTTATTCCTAGCACCTCAAAAAAAAACCATATTGACCTCTGAGAATGGAGGCCCTAGAATATACTTTTTTTGCCCAGGGTTTGGGGAGGGACCCAGGGATTGAATCCAGGGGCATTTAACCAGTGAACCATATCCTGAGCCCTTTTTATTTATTTATTTTTATTTTGAGACAGTCACTAAATTCCTGAGCCTAGCCTTAAACTTGCAGTCCTCCTGCCTCAGCCTCCCAAATCGCTGGGATTACAGGTGTAGCATGCCTGGCTAGAATATACATTTTTGAAGTTGCCTGTGTGAATGGGATCTAGGCCAAGGAATACCTGAGCTACATTCCACATGGACCACTGTTGGAGGCAGGTCACTGTTGAAAGCTGCTAGAAGAGCTGCCTAAAGCAGCCCTGTGATTGGATTCTAGATAAGAGATGGGGACTGTGCTCAGAAATTGAGAGGAGGAAACATTGGAAAGACTTGGGAAATATCCCCAGAGGACATGGTGACCTCACTGGGCCTGGATGGATGGAGAGGCTCCTGGACAGGAAAAAGCCTACCATGAACTGTTCAGGCAAGAGGAGCAAAAGAAGCAGAGACACCTGCACCGATTTCCTTGGAAAATTCCACAGTGTTTTTAGAAAGGACTCTGGATGCTCTGGGTGGATTGTCTTCAGTAAAATTGGTCAGGTTGGGGTTTTCCATCTCATTCTATCTGAGCACCAGTCAGTGTGAGCGTAGGGAATACAGATTCATCTCTTCATGAAAGCCTCACTTCTGGCCAATGATCTTTTTTTCTTTTTTCTTTATTTCCAATCAGAATTTAATTGATGACCTTCTCAGAAGTTTGCCAGGGATATCAGAAACACCTTCTCCCCTCTGGGCCGCTGTTTCCAAATCCACTTATCTTGCCGCCTGTCCCACACGCTGCTCCCTGTGTAGGATGAGACGAAAAATCTCTTCCCATAAGAAGCTATTGTCAATGAACCCTGACATCTGACTGTCTTTGGCTCTCCCTTCTCCCTTGATTCTCCAAACCTATACAGTTGCCAAGTCCATTTGGGGAGGAGGGTGGTACTGGGCATTGAATCTAGGGGACTCTACGACAGAGCTACATCCCCAGCACTTTTTATTTTTTTACTTTGACACACTGTCTTGCTATGTTGCTGAATCTGGCCTGGAATTTGTGATCCTCCTGCTTTAGCCTCCCTGCAATAAAGAATTTTTTCTTGGGCAGTGCTGGGGATGAACCAGGGCCCCACAAGTGCTAGCCAAGGGCTCTACCGCTGAGTTAGCCTCCCAGCCTTTTCCAAAACCTGTTGTTTTTTCAATCAACAGATATTTTCTGGAATCTTGCTAAGAACCAGGAGTATGCCAGGTGTTTTCAGTGCATTATTTCACTTTATCTCCTAGTGTCCCTATGAGGATGAGAAATGAGGCTTATGAGAGGTCAGATGACTTGTCCAGGGGAAGCAAGCTAGGCCGCAATGGAGCTGCACCCCAAAAGCAGGTCTTTCAGATGTGGTTTCTTGCGCAGCAGCCCTTGGACATCTGCCACCTCATTTCAGAGCAGAGTGGCACTCCTTAGTTTAGCTGCCCTTCAGCTTGCTCCTCTCCCCTTCTGTCCATCATTAGCCGCTCCCCGTTTCTCATTCTTAGCACACTGCCTTTGCCCACTGTTTTCCTACTTGAACATCAGCCTTTCCCGTTTCCCCCTGCTCCCAAGCTCAGGAAGCACTCTGTCCCCTCAGAACCCCTGTTATCTGTCTCTTATGACAGAACTTGGCAGTTGCTTCACTGTCATGTGGGTGGCATGCTTCTCGTGACCCAATCGTGCTGTGTGTCCATCAGCAACAAAGGCAAAAGTCAGGGCCTGAGGCTAAGAAGCTCTGGTCAACCACTGATTACATCAGGAGCTTAGCATCCTTTTGAAGAGAATTGGGTTGATTTTCAATATTTTTTAAGATGGTGTCTTCCAGTGTTGCCCAGGCTCACCTTGAACTTGTGGAATCAAGTGGTCCTCCCATCTCAGCCTGCCAGAGTGGGATTCTTTTAAGATTTGCTTCAGAGAAGCAAAATGGAGTTAAGTCTGTGGTACAAATAAATGAGACTGAGAGCATAGCTATCTTAGTGATAGAGTGCTTGCTTAGCCTGTGTAAGGCCCCAAGTTCCAACTCTAGCTCTGTAAAAAAAGAAAAGAAAATTGTCTCTTACCTACTAACGTTAAATAGAATGATATTAGGATTATTTGGGGGTGTCCATTGGCAGTTGGAAGTTGGAGAGCAGGAGATGTGTGTTTAATAATAATTCTGCTTGTGACATGAGCAGCTCACTTAATCTCTTAGGATCTTGGCTTCTTCAGTAAAGTGCCATGTATGTACCAGGCCAGGGATGGGGAGATGATCAGGGGAGGATTGGCAGGAGCAATTTCTGGAGGACTTTTCTTGCCCAGGCATGCTTGGACTTGAACTCTCTGAACCCTCTGAGAGCATCTTGCAGGAAGCAGAGTAATACAGTAATTAATAACGGGGAATTCTTTTAGCTGCTCTTGATTGCAAGCAATAGGAATCTAAATTCTGTTGGTTTATTAGTTGTTGTTGTTTATTTTGCAGTGGTGGGGACCAAACTCAAGGCCTGGTGTGCGCTGTTGGGAATGTATTGACCCGGGTGATCAGAAAGTCCAGGAATGGGTCAGGTTTCAGTTATAGTCTAATCTTGGGACTCATTTCCCTGTGGTTTTCTCAGCTCTGCCATCTGTGAATGGAGGACATAGAGGGGCGAGGTGGTGCAACAGTGATGCAGGTTTATTCATGACAAACCTGCGGAAGGGGCCCGGTGGAGACTGACACCTGTCTTCTACTCAGCCTGGGCCAGACACAGGGGCATGAGTGAGTGGGAGAATTTTTGCAGTTGCGCCATTGCTAGGAGATTGACCCAAAGGACGTCACCTCTATTCTGTGAGGTGCTCACCATTCCATGTCGAAGCAGGTGTTTTCAGGGTTCCTGTCCCAGATAACCATGTCCTTAATTTGTACGACAATGAAGCCTTGTCTGGGGCTTAAGGTCAGGCTGAGTCAGAGTGACCACAAGGTGACTCTTATTCTAAGATATATTTCAAAATGGCGTTGCTGTGTCAGGTTCTGCCTAACGCTATCCACCATGATAGCTTCATTGGCAAAGTACCTACAGCAGTTCAAGGCCAGGTGACCTGTGACATCTACATTTCACACTAGTGCAAAACAACAAAGAACTTTACTCCCCTCAACCATCAAACCAAACTAGCATTAATATTTTAGGTCAGCGGTGTTGTGTGTGTCTGAGTGTCCCCCATGAGCAGGGTCAGTCGTGGCTAAGAGCTCTGTGCCTGGCCCCGGCAGACCTGTGTGTGCTCCTGAGCGAGGTAACTTGGGAAAGTTATTCAACCTCTCAAGCCTCAGTTTTCTCATCCATAAAGTGGATCTCAATACTGCCCACCTCCAAGAGTTGTTGAGAGAATGAAAGGAGCTCATGGATGTGAGGAGCTTAGCTCAGTGCCCATAGGGAACTGCTACACCAGTAGCCTGTGGAGGGCAGGTCTGTGTCTCGGTCTCTGCCACAGTTACCCCTGCACTTGCATACAGTAGGTGCTGCATAAACACTTACTGGAAGTCTTCAGTTCCCACTTTCTTTCTTTCTTTTCGCAGTGCTGGGGTTGGAACCCAGGGCCTGTGCACGCCAGGCAAGTGCTGCATCCCCAGCTCTTGGCAGGTTTGAAGATGGAAGTACTTTCTCCTCTTCACCACCATCTCCTCACCTCCCCAGAAAGAAATGCAGCCCCTCTACCTTAGCAAATGATTTAATGAGTGACTGGCAGGGAGGATGGGGAGGTGAGGGGTGAGGGGACGGAGCGGCAGTGGCACATGACTCATGAGCAGCAAAAAGCCAAGAGGAAACCAGCAAGAGGCTGTTCTGTGTTCCACCCTCCAGCCGTCAAGTTCAGCACCGCCCCAGTCATAGGATCAGTTGCCGTTGAGATGGGGACCAGCCAGTCGGTGTGCTTCCCACCTGTCTCAGGACCCCACCTTGTAGGCTGTGGGGATGTGATGGAGGGTCAGAGTCTCCAGGTAGGTGTCTGCAGCTCCTCCCCTACACGTCTCCCCTGCTTCGGTCTGTGCTGGGTCTTTTTTTTTTTTTAATATTTATTTTTTAGTTTTAGGTGGACACATATCTTTATTTTACATTTAAGTGGTGCTGAGGATCGAACCCAGTGCCTTGCGCATGCTAGGTGAGCGCTCTACCACTGAGCCACAACCCCATCCCCCTTTTTTAAAAAATTTTTATTTATTTATTTAATAATCTTTGTTTGTATGTGGTGCTGAGGATCGAACCCGGGCCGCACGCATGCCAGGCGAGCGCGCTACCGCTTGAGCCACATCCCCAGCCCCCCAGCCCCTTTTTTTATCTTTTATTTGCATTTATTTTATCTGAGTTTATTCCTGTGCCATAGTTTTTGCTTCTTCATTTTTTTCTGGGATGCCTTTACTTTCTGTGCAACCTTCTCTTCTGGTTTAGAAACAGTTTGTTCCTTTTCAGTGAGGATCCTCTAGATGGGGCAGGGAGCTCAGGTGTGGGTTAATCCAGACGTCTGTAAGGACAGCGGTGCACCTTAGGTGCTCTGTTCCATGGATATGTTCAAAGACCTGAGAATCTACATCTAAACCCTTGAGTTCAGTGTCACTCTCTGCATTTTTTAGCAGGTGCAACAAAAATTCAGCATTCTTTTTGGGCCACCGACCCTGTGTCCAGCCCTGTTTGGCCTGGACACACCTCCCAATTCCACCATTGTAACTCCGGAATGGTGCACATCGCTTCTTTAAAGTGACGCCTTGCACGGGCTTGGTGGCTTTTCGGATATGCATACCCTTGATGGCCTATGTGGTTTCATGAATCTTATTAAAGTGAACATGAAGATCTGAACCTCTTGATTTTGTGGGGTTTTCAGGGTCAAGAGAGTAGGGAACCATTTTCACAGATCATCTCAGGCCACTGAGAGGAGGAGCTGTGCTTGGTCTTCATGGTCACGGGTGAGAGTGCACAGTTCCAGGTGGGGAAGCTGAGCTAGCGCTGGTCTGGATTTGGTTATCAGCCCCCAGGGCTGTCTTCCTCTTATCAAGTACCAGACACTTCCCATTTGACCTAGATGAAGTGTTCTTTCCTCAGCCAGGAGGAAAGGGGGGCGGGGCTCTAGCTCAGGGGGCAGCTCCCAGCTCCTCCCACCTGTCTTGAGGGCAGATGCCTGACCCACCCCAAAAGGTTTTCCATTTCATCCTTATGGGAGTTGGTGAGAGGAAGAAGAGTGAGCACATGCCATTGCCCTTGACTCCCCAACCTGGGTGCGAACTTGGTGGCCCTATCTCTCCTGCCTCCATCTGCTCCTTCTGGACTTTCCTTCTACCAGTTTCTAGATTTGTTGGTTTGTTTTTTGGCATCAGGGATTGAGCCCAGGGGTGATTTACCCCTGAGACACATCCCCAGCCCTTTTTACTTTTTATTTTGAGGCAGAGTCTCAGTGAGTTGCTTAGGGCTTCACTGAGTTACTGAGGGCCTCATTGAATTGGTTTGAACTCGAGATCCTCCTGCCTCAGCCTCTCAAGTCGCTGGGATTATAGGCAGGTATCACCAAACGTGGCCAGTTTCTAGGTTTTTCTCTGCTGGCTCCTGGTTTCCTCGTGAGAGGCACCCACTTTTAGTAATCCCTCACCTTCTCCTGTGTAAGATGAGTTCGTCCTGAGAGTTAGCCTAGAGGACTAACTAATCATGGGTCTGTGTGACCCATGATTAGTGCCTCATTCAGCACAAGGGCAAATCTCCACTCCCATGGCTCCTCCAGGCCTGGGCTCAGGACCAAATTTAAATCTTTTTTAAATTTTATTTAATTATTTTTTAGGTGTAGATGGACACAACACAATGCCTTTATTTTTATGTGGTGCTGAGGATTGAACTGGGTCCCGCCCGTGCTAGGCGAGCACTCTACCGCTGAGCCACAATCCCAGCCCCAGATTTAAATCTTTTGATGTCCTAAGCACTAAGTATTTTGGCACCCCCCCCCAATGTCATTCAAAAATACCATGAGCTATTTGAAATAACATTTTTCATGTATGCTAAATTCCTTTTTTTCTAAATGTAAAATTCGGGTGTGTCATTGAAGCTTAAGGTTCCCTGTGTCGATGCCCTGCCTGCCTGGTGCCCTAACGGGAGATCCAGAGGTGCCTGGGCTTCTTGCTCTGAGCAGCCGCTCTCTTCTTTCCTGCAGGGGAGCTTCTTTCGACTCTTCTACCCCTGCCAGGAGTCGGAGGAAACTGTGGAGCAGCCCCTGTGGATCCCCCGCCCTGAGTACTGCACTGGCCTGGCCGATTACCTGCGGTTGAATAAGCGCTGGGTGGGGTTGCTGTTCAACCTGGCTATGGGTAAGGCTGGCCTCATGCTTTCCCAGCTGCTTGGTTATGTCCCTAGGCTGTTCCCAGGTAGACAAAATACCTTTAAGCTTGCAGAGTCCAGCCCTTTTGCAGTGGGTGGGTGTGCAGAGCTTGGCCATTGAGTAGCGCTCTCCTGGGCTTTGAATCCAGGCTCTCTGATTTACTAGTCGTGGGGCTTGGGCATGTTCCCTGATCTGTCTGAATACCTGCCTTTGTGGGGTCACAGTGTGGGAGGTGTGGGGTCAGGTCAAAGCCTCTAGTGCAGTGCTTGGGATGCGGGATGCCTGCCTAGGTGGCGGGTCTGGCTGTTTGTCCAGCAGGTGCTCACTGCCAGCCATCCTGCAGGTTGGCCAAGCTTCGCTCTCGGGGAGCAGGGTCTCCTGCAGTTCTCCCTCCAGGCTCCCATCTTCTGGGCAGGGCCACACGAAATCATCCACTTCCCCCCAAGGATTGTCCCAGGTCCTCTGTCCACTCCTTGGCATCTCAAGGTTGCCAAGACTTGCTCAGCATTGTCCCCATGGATGATTTTTTTGTTTATTTTTTTTTTTAAAGAGAGAGAGAGAGAGAGATTTTTTTTTTTTTAAAGATAGAGAGAGAGCGAATTTTTTTAATATTTATTTTTTAGTTTTCGGCAGACACAACATCTTTGTATGTGGTGCTGAGGATCCAACCCGGGCCGCACGCATGCCAGGCGAGCGCGCTACCGCTTGAGCCACATTCCCAGCCCCGATTTTTTTGTTTTCTTGCCATCTTGGCAGTTGAGCCCAGGGTCTTTCTTGCTCAGGTGGGTGCTCCACCATCTAACTACACCCCCAACCCCAGGCCTTTGATATATCTCCCCATTTTGCGGGGTACAAGGGATTGAACTCAAGGGCACTTGTCCACTGAGCCACATCCTCAGCCCTATTTTTGTATTTTATTTAGAGTCAGGGTCTCACTGAGTTGCTTAGTGCCTCACTTTTGCTGAGGCTGGCTTTGAACTCAAAATCCTCCTGCCTCAGCCTCCTGAGCCACTGGGATTACAGGCCCACTCCCATTTTTTTGTATTCCCTCTCCCTGGGGAAGAAAAGTGGAAAGCATAGGCTAGGTGATGATTGTCCTGGGATGCTCAGGGGTGGTTGGCAGGTTCCTCAGAGGGAGAGAACCCCTGCCTCTGCTGAGCTGCCCTCCTGGTGACAGCTCTGGGCAGCCAGGGATTCTATAGCCTGTGTCTCTGCTAGGATCTTGCCGCCTGCCTGTTAGCTGGAACGGCCCCTTTAAGACGAAGGACTCTGGATACCCCTTGATCATATTTTCCCATGGCCTTGGAGCCTTCAGGTAAGAACTTATATCCCTGTCTGGGGAGACTTTGCCTAGTGACAGCGACAGCTGCTGAGTCTCAACTTATTCTCAAAGGGCAGAAAGACAGGCATGTCCATCTGCTAGCCGTCTTAGCTCCGTCTGCTCTGTGCTGTAACTTTGGGTCCACCTCCTCTGGAGGACCCTTCCCAGGGCTGCTTTGTGAAGCCTCCACGTCCTTCAGGTCCGTGTTCCACATCTGCATAAAGGTGTGCTTTCACCCTCTGTTCCCGCCCAGAAGTGCTAGAACTTTATATTTGGACAGCCATTTACTCAACCTGTGTTGACTGCCTGCCCTGTGTGTGGCACTGGCATGTCAAGGAATGGGACAGGCTTGCTCCCTGTGCTCACAGCTAACAGCTTAGCTCAAACCCCCGCCGTGCCACTTGTGCCCCATGTGACCTTGGGAAAGTTGGGTAACTCTCTGAGCCTAGATTTCCACACCTACCAAACGGGGATGCCACTCCCAACAGGTGGCTCGTTGAGGCCTTAGTTGGACGGGTGCCTCCTGGGTACACACTGGTGCCACTTCTCCTTTTCTTTTCTCTCTGTGGAGGGACATGGGGTGGCAGACTCCAAGACCTCTTCCACCAGACTCTCAGACATGATACCCACTGAGCATCGTTCCTGCGGGTTCTGCTTCCGCCCCACGGTGGGACCAGCTGAGCCTGTGATGTTTTCTGTGCTCATCATCAACTGTCCCAGAGCCTCACGCATCTCGCAGGTTTCCTCATCGCCAGACCCTTGGCCGCGCTCTAGCTAAGGAGGTGTTTTTGTTTTGTTTTTTCATTATTGGCGATGGAACCCAGGGTCTCTCTACCCTTGAACTACATTCACAGCCCTTTTTTTTTTCCCTCAACCATCCCAGGTAACTTTATTTCTAATATTTTGCAGAGGCATGAGTTATTACAACAATATTAACTCTAATACTTTTTAAAAAATTTTTATTTTATTTTTTTTTAGTCATACATGACAGCAGAATGTATTTTGACATATAATACATACATGGAATGTACATACATCAATCATGTAGTCTATTCTATTCTGCTGCTCTTCCTATCCCCCCTACTCCTCCTCTCCTCTCCCGTCCTTTCTCTCTATCCAATCTAATGTGACACACATTTTTTTTTCTTTTTCTCATTACAACATCATATATGTATTCTGTATAACAATGAGGTTCTCCTTCCATCTTCCGTGCAACTCCCCTCTCCCTCTTTTTCCCTCCCACCTCTCTTCCCTATTTAGTGGTAGTCTTCTTCTCATGCTCTTCCTCCCTATCCCATTTTGAGCCACCCCCCTTATATCAGAGAAGACATTCGGCATTTGTTTTTAGGTATTGGCTAACTTTACTTAGCATAATCTGCTCTAATGCCATCCATTTGCCTGCAAATGCCATGATTTTGTTATTTTTTAGTACTGAGTAATATTCTATTGTGTATAAATGCCACATTTTTTAATCCATTCATCTATTGAAGGGCATCTAGGTTGGTTCCACATTCTAGCTATTGTGAATTGTGCTGCTATAAACATTGATGTGGCTGTGTCCCTGTAGTATGCTCTTCTTAGGTCTTTTGGGTATAGTCCGAGAAGGGGAATAGCTGGGTCAAATGGTGGTTCCATTCCCAGCTTTCCAAGGAATCTCCATACTCATACTGCTTTCCAAATTGGCTGCACCAATTTGCAGTCCCACCAGCAATGTATGAGTGTACCTTCCCCCCGCATCCTTGCCAGCACTTGTTGTTGTTTGTCTTCATAATGGCTGCCATTCTTATTGGAGTGAGATGGTATCTTAGAGTAGTTTTAATTTGCATTTCTCTGATTGCTAGAGATGGTGAGCATTTTTTCATGTATTTGTTGATTGGTTATATATTCTCTTCTGAGAAGTTTCTGTTCAAGTCCTTGGCCCATTTGTTGATTGGGTTATTTGCTTTTTTGTTGTTTAACTTTTTGAGTTCTTTGTATACTCTAGAGATTAGAACTCTATCTGATGTTTGAGGGGTAAAAATTTGTTCCCAGGATGTAGGCTCCCTATTCACCTCGCATATTATTTCTCTTGCTGAGAAAAAACTTTTTAGTTTGAATTCGTCCCATTTGTTGATTCTTGGTTTTAACTCTTGTGCTATAGGGTCTTATTAAGAAATTTGGGGCCTGCCCCCATGTGATGAAGGTTAGGGCCAACTTTATCTTCTATTAGATGTAGAGTCTCTGGTCTGATTCCTAGCTCCTTGATCCATTTTGAGTTGACTTTTGTGCATGGTGAGAGAAAGGGATTCAATTTCATTTTGTTGCATACGGATTTCCAGTTCTCCCAGCACCATTTGTTGAAGATGCTATCCTTTCTCCATTGCATGGTTTTAGCACAGCCCTTTAATATTTTTTATATCAAGACAGTGTCCTGCTCAGTTGCCCAGACTGATTTGAACTTGGGATCCTGCCTCAGCCTCTGGAATAACTGAGATATGGATTGCGGACGTGGCTCTCCTCATCCCGCTGGGGAGATCTCTTTTGAAACCAGAAATTATCTTGTTATTCAGCACCTTGAATGGTGCCTGGTATGTTGAAGATGCTCGATAAGTATTTGTTGAATGAGTAAATGAATGTCCCTCCCCTAATTAGAACTTTTTTTTTTTTTTTGTACTAGGGATCGAACCCAAGGCACTTAATCACTGAGCCACATCCCCAGCCCATTTTTATATTTCATTTAGAGACAGGGTCTCACTGAGTTGCTAAGTACCTTGTTAATCTGCTGAGACTGGCTTTGAACTCAGCCTCCCCAGTTGCTGGGATTACTGGCATGCGCCACCATGCCTGGCCCCTAATTAGAATTTTTTAAAAGCTCTTTGAACTTAATTCGGTTCTTTACATGGTCTTACCTGGATGCAGGTCCAAGACAGTTTCCAACCTCATGTCTTGCTATTTACCCATTCCAGCTCTCCAAACAAATTGGCCTTTCACTTAGTTAAAAAACACTTACTTACTGCCTGGGGGCCCTCGTCTGGTGTATTTTGAGGCCTTTCCCTCTGCCTAGAATCTTCTGGCTGTTCTGTTCTTCGTTTCCTCTTTCCCTGCTCCTTCTTTTGCCTGGCTAATTCCCAGTTACCTTCAGGGTCCTTGTTTAGAGGTCAGCTCCATAGGACACCCCTCCTGACCCGCACATTATCTGTGTACTTCTCAGTACTTGTCATAATTATGATGAACTTACTTATGTTAATTATTCTTTTTCTTTAAATATTTATTTTTTAGTTGTAGTTGGACACAATATCTTTATTTTATTTATTTATTTATTTTTATGTGGTGCTGAGGATCGAACCCAGGGCCTCGCATGTGCTAAGCGAGCACTCTACCGCTGAGCCCCAGCCTCAGGCCCTGAGTTAATTATTCTTTAATGGCCGTCTTCCCTATTTCTAGATTGCAGGCTCGTGAAGGCAGAGACCTTGTCTGTGTCATTCCCAGTGCCTAGAAAACGATAGTCTCTAAAGAAATACTCATCCCGTGACTGCAAGGGCTATTTTTCTGGGTTCTCATTCATTCAGCAGACACCTGTGGGGCACCTGCTCTGTGCCAACTCCGTGGCACGAGGGGAAGGTTATTCCTAAATCAGGGATTGAATCCCCAAGAAGAGCTGGTATAGAGACTTAGCCTGGGCAGAAGTGGAGCATAGATGCAGAGGTGAGGCTGGCAAGGCAAGCAGGTAAACTGAGAGCCTAGGCGCCTCATGCCAGAGCTTGTGCCAGGTTGGGCATTGAGTAGTGAGTGAGAGTCTCTGCCCTCAGGGAAGCGGTGGTCGGGCCAGGAAAAGAAACTAAGAAACATTCCCTTCTGAGCCTACCATCCTGCTCTGGGAGAGTAGTGAGCACCTGACTTGGAAGGTGGTCCTTGGGGTCTAAGAATCTGTATTCAGATTTCACATCTCAGGGACCAGGCGGAGCCAGTTGTAAACACTCTTCATTAACCAGAGTGAAATTCCAAGGCAGGGCAGGGAGGGCCAGGGACATTGTTTCCTCTCCATTGCTGGTTATTTCGCTCTGAGGTCCTTTCTGTGGGCCACAGACCTGTGGCTTCCCACTCAGGGAGGAGCATGTGCGCTGAGGTGTGGGACAGGCAGGCCACTGTCACCAGGCCCCACACAGTCCTCTGAAGTGGGCAGGCGGGGACATGGGCAGGCAGGGACGCATGCTTGTTTTTTTTTTTTTTTTTTAATATTTATTTATTTATTTATTTAGTTATTGGCGGGCACAACATCTTTGTATGTGGTGCTGAGGATCGAACCCGGGCCGCACGCGTGCCAGGCGAGCGCGCTACCGCTTGAGCCACATCCCCAGCCCCTCATGCTTGTTTTTTTGTTGTTTTTTTTGTTTTGTTTTGTTTTTGCAGTGCATGCATAGTAGGCAAACACCGTACCACCCGGCTGCACCCCCAGCCCAGGGACACACACTCTGTACACTGAGCAGACGGGCTGTGAGTGGCAGGTTGGCCTAACGTTGCCGCCGCTACACAGTTCAAACTAGGAAGGCGCCAGAAACCTCTCTGCCTCTGAGGTGCAGTTCCCTGCCTCCCCTGGGAAGGGGGGAAGGTGAACAGAGATCCAGGAAACTGATCTTGCTGTGTCAGTGAGGATTTGGGCAAGTTGTGTGTAACAGAAAACCCCAAATAATAGAGACTAACACAAAATAAATTTTTTTTTTTTCTCTTCTGAGAGAGAAGAAAGCTAGCGGTAGACAGAGTGATATTGTAGTTCCTTGAAGTTATCGGAGAATCAGACTTATTTTATAATCTTGCTCTGCCCCTTGTGGCTTCCATTTCTAAAGTCCTCTCATGACCCAGGATGACTGCTTTAGTTCTAGCCATTAATCTGCATCCCAGGCAGGAGGAAGGAGCTTTATAAAGGAAATTTTATAGGAAGTTCTATGTAACACAACTTGTTTACATCTCATTGACTAGTCCTGCTCTGCCAATTATGGTAGCATCAAACTCTGTGTGCCTATTGAACTCTTGAAATGTGTCTGGGCCAATCAGGTAAGCTGCAAGTATGAAATGTATGCCCATTTCAAAGACTTAATATGAAAAAAAAAAAGTAAGTTTCATTAACTTAAAAGATTTTTTATTATATATTATAATTATAATAGGTTAAATAGGTTATAATTTAATAAAACATAATAAAATTATTAAATATGATTAAACAATTAATATTTAATATAATTAAATAAGATATGATTAAAATATAATGGGTTATTATAGATTAAATAAAATGTGCAATTAAAGTTAGTATGTTTCTTTTTACTTCTGGAAATATGTCTATGAGAAAATTTTAAATTACTTATTGATTTAGCATTAAATTTCTGTTGCACTGTGCTGCATTAGAACTTTAACTATACAGACTAACAGCTATAAGGGAGGCTGGGAAATATAATACTTTGATGGCATAAAAGGGTCATTGGCCAAAAATCATTCTGTTATTGAGGAGAAAGGGAAAATAGGTGTTTGGGGTAGGCAGTCGGCAGAATCTGCCGTATTCCTTTTTTTCCTTCTCCTGGGCAGGTGGAAGACAGAAAAATCTGCATCTTAAGTCGTATTTAAATTGCATATAAAAGAAATGTGCATGCCTATGATCCCAGCCACTCAGGAGACTGAGGCAAGAGGATTGTGAGTTAAAGCCAGCCTCAGCAATTTAGCAAGCCCATAAGCAATTCAGTGAGACCCTGTCTCAAAATTCAGAAGGGCTGGGGATGTGCTTCAGTGGTTAGGCACCCCTGAGTTCAATCCCTGGTACCAAAAAAAGAGTTTCTGTCTTCCAGGAGCTTAACAGCTAATTTGGGGGACATACAGTGTATGACAATAAAAATGCTATTGAAGTAGTCAAAATGTATTTGGGACGTGGGGCTGGGCTCACGGAGGGTCCAAGGCCCTGTGGGTTGATTTGCAAACAGTGCCTGGAGGAGGAGGCAGAGCCTTGTGGGATGAGAACTGTGGGGCTTGGGAACAGTACCTGGAGGAGGGCTGCCCGCTGGGGCACTTCCTCTGCTTAATCCTTTGGGGTGGTCACTAGCAGAGCATGGCTGGAATGGGTGCAGTGGAGTGGGGTGAGCCCTGGGCCGTTCTTTTGATCCCTTATCCTTATTCCTTTCTTTATCTCTAGGACGTTGTATTCAGCCTTCTGTATGGAGCTGGCCTCCCGTGGCTTTGTGGTTGCTGTGCCAGAGCACAGGTGAGGGATGACAGTCACCGTGAACTTTCCTGGAATGGGTGCCTGCAGTGAGCAAGGTATAGGCTAGTCCCCTATCAGTGTTTTCTTTTTTAGCCAGATGTGATAGCATACACCTAATCCCAGTGACTCAGGAGGCTGAGGCAGGAGGTTTGCAAGTTCAAGGCTAGCCTCAGCAACTTAGTGTGATTCTGTCTCAAAAAAATAAAAAGGGTTGGGGTGGTTAAGTGCCCTTGGGTTCAACCTCCAATACAAAAAAAAAAAGTTTTTAGATTTTTGTTTTGATCTTTGCAGTGCTGGGGATCAAACCCAGGGTCTTGCACATGCTAGGCAAGTGTTCTATCACTGAGCTAATGTAGCATTATCCCCTGTGTATTATTTCTAATCCTCCCAACAATCATATAAGGCAGGCGTTATGCCCATTTTAAAGAGCAGAAAACCAAAGTTCTAAAATGTTAAATAACTTGCCAAAAGTGACACAGCTGATCTGGTGTTCAAATCCTGGTCTGTCCAAAAATATGTCTTTTTCCTACTCTTCCTTGCATGCCTCAGACCCCTTCCCTACTAGCAAAAGGGGAGCCCACGTGACTTGGCTGAGAGGAGCTGGTCAAAGGGAGAAGTGAGTTCATGGTGTCTTCTGCCCTCTCCTCTACGGCGGGTGTATTTCAGAGACCAGTCAGCTTCGGCTACCTATTTCTGCAAGCAGGTCCCAGAGGAGAATCAGCCCACCAATGAGTCACTAGAGGAGGAATGGATCCCCTACCTTCAAATTGAGGAAGGGGAGAAGGAATTCCATGTTCGGAATCCCCAGGTAGGCGTGTGCGACCAGGGAAGGAGGGTTACTGAGCCTGCGTTCACTGTGTTGGTCAGCTCTCCGTCACTATAGTGAACTACCTGGGAAAATTAACTTGTAAGAGAAAAGGTTTATTTAGCTCATGGTTCTGAAGGTTCCAGTCAAAGATCAGGTGGACCCACTGTTTTGGGCCTTTAGTGGTGCTAGATGGCAATGTGGGGGGAGAGCAGACCCACCCACCTTGTGAGCCAGGAAGCAAAAGTGAGGAAGAGACTGGGGTCCTGCAAGTCCCCACCTCCTAAAGATTTCACCCCCTCCCAAAGTGCTCCTCTGGAGACCATCTTGAATACATAGACCTTTGGGGGATACTCACCCAGACTGTTGCTCTCAATAAACAATTCTTTTACTTTCTAAATCTTTACTCCCATCTTAGTAGGAATAAATGGGGTATTAATCAGGACTCTTAAAATTGCCAGTATCAGAAACCCAGCTTAAGTTTGCTTAAGCAAAAAAGGGAACTGATTGGCTCATATAAGCAGACTATAGGAAGAGTGAGACCACTGGAACCAGCTTCAGGCGCCATCAGTTCTTGCTCTCAGAGGAATTCACTGTCTCTGGCTCTCTGCCGTCGGGCTCATCTGCACACTGGCTTACTTCCTGAGGTTTGAACCACAGCCCTCTGCAGCTCTGAGCTTGCATATGTTCAGCTGTTTGGGGGCTGTTCCCTAGTCCCCTACACCTTGCCATGCTGGAGTTTGAAAAATCCTGGGAGAGGGAGTCCTAGCCTGCGGAGAAGTGCCAAAATGAAAGTTCCTACCAGAAATGCCTAGTTAGATTTGGGGTGGGACGGTCCTCGTCATCTCATCGGATCCTCCTAACAACCCTGTGGGCAGGCAGAATCAGAACGACAGGACTGATTGTCTTGTGCTGATGGGCGGTGCTCATGTGAGCTGCAAGGGCCTCGTGCTTGCTGAGTGTAGGGGGCAAACAAACCTTCCTTGCATTCTTCCTTGGTTGGCTCTGTAGATGAGATTCTTGCTGGATGGTTGTGGAATTTCCAGTTCCCACTAGTCTCTCTGTTGCAGGTGCATCAGCGCGTAGGAGAATGTGTGCGGGTATTGAGGATCATGCAGGAAGTCACTGCTGGGAGGACTGTCCTCAACATCTTGCCTGGAGGGTTGGATCTGATAACCTTGAAGGTATGGCAGCAGCTGGTGTGACCCAGAACTTCCTTGGTTACATGGAGCAAACCAAACTCACTATCTTAAACCAAAGAGAACTTACTGGCTCACATATCTAGCCAACTTTAGGCCAGTCCAGGGTCACACTGTCCTCAAAGCTCTTCTCTCCCTTCTGGTTGAACTTCTGTCTGTATGTGGGTGTCTTTCTTACCATAGTCCCTGCTTTTGCCAAGAAAGATGGTTGCTGGCAGTCCAGTCCTGTATCTCAACTCACTGCACCAGAATTGAAAAGAAAGGAGACTGAGTTTCCTGGCTGTGGCCCTTTGTGGGTCACATGCCCCTTCTGGACCAATCACTGAGTGTTCTGTCTGCCTGCTTCTGGGTGGGGACTTGAGCAGCAGGATGCAGGTTCCCACCAGGGCTGTGTGGACAGAGGAGGCATGTTCATTCCCTCAGGGAGGATCTACTTCAGGCTGGCTCCTTCCTGTGAGGGACTCCCAGGAACCTCCAGGAGGTTACGCAACCATCCCTGCAATAGACTGGAGTGCCTAGGAAGGCACCTTCAGACCCCGCTATTCACCGCCCCCACCTGATTTCCTCAATAGCTCAGGCTTTATTCATGGAACCAAGAAACCACATAAAAGCATGAAGAAAAAAGAACAGTTCTTTTGGACATTTTGACATTGGTCCTTCCAGTTATTTTTAAAATGCATTAATACATACATGCGTATTTTTGTTTACTTATTTTTGATATAGGGAATTGAACCAGGGACACTTAACCACTGAGCTACATCCCCAGCCCTTTTTTGTTTTGAGACAGGTCTCGCTAAGTTGCTTAGGACCTCGCTAAGTTGCTTTGGACCTTGCTAAGTTGTTGAGGCTGGCTTCAATCTTGTCATCCTCCTGCCTCAGCCTCCCAAGTCTCTGGGATTACAGGCATGTGTCACCACACCCAGCTCATACATCATTTTTAAAACAATAATGTTATCATTTAAAACAAGTAGTTCTGTGGGCTTCCCCCGCCCCCACACACACTTAGCAAAACAATCTATCTTTTTGCGATAGTCAGTGGTTTGGGGTGGCATGATTTTTAGTGGCCATGCAATATTCCGTTGTAGGAGTAAGCACACCCCTACATTATTTCCTAGGTGAGCTCCTTACACCAACTTAGGAAGTCAGCATTGTTAACCTCTCCATATCAAAAGAAAACAGATTAGACAGGCTAAGTGTCTACCCAAGAGTACTCAGCTCAGTTGTAGAGTCAAACTTTAAACTGGAATTTTTTGACCCATAAACTATGCTGTGTGGCTCAAAACCTCTTTAAAAAAAAATCTCTCGTAAGCCTCTGGTAGTGTCCTCTGAGGAGAATCATCTTCCTGGATGGCCAGCAGTGAGGCAGGACCTAGAATCTGGAGGGTTTTACCAGTGCCTTGCTGTGTGTGGTCCCCCCCTCTAGAGAAGCAGCCTCTGAGCGCAGAGGTGCAGGTCTACCTGCCTGGGAACCTGAGGAAGGGCAGCCATGGCCCAGTTCAGTTATTTAAGAAGCAGCCTTTGGAAACACAGAATTAAAAAACATAAGTAATTTTCAACCATCAGACCAAGTAAAACTTGATTATTTCCTGTGTTGACACATTGGAGACGTAGTCATCCTCCTAAACGGCTGGTGATAGTAGGGACTGCCCCGAGGAGAGCCATTAGGTGTAGTTCTCAGCAGTACAGATGCATGTGTGCTTTGATCCTCCCATCTCCAGTTTTGGGACTTTATCCTGTAACACCTGCCCTCATGAAGTGTGCTAATGTGCAAGTTATTTCTTCCTGTACAGAGTGTAACAGCAAAAGATTGACATTGACGGTAGCTTAAATGTTTACCAGTGACAGAGATGGTTGATAGGCTCTGCAACCTGGCTGTATTGTTTGGATAATGCTCACTGCTACAGCACATAAACCCCATATCTCAGTGGCTTATACTATTGAAATTTATTTTTCTCCTATGTAAGTCTATGGGGTACCCCTGAGCAAGAGGTGAATCAGGGATCGAGGCTCCTTTTACCCTAGGATTCTACTATCTCATTTGTAAATCCCAGATTTGTTGTGTACATTAAGCCAACAGAATGGGAGAGGGCAAGGAGGTCCATCTGAGAGGGTTGGTGTGGACCAGCCTTGGGCATGGAGATAGCACTTCTGCTCACATTCTGTTGGCCAGAACTCAGTCGTGAGGCCTCATCTGACTGCTGGGAAATAGTCTAGCTGTGCGTCCAGGAACTGATTTGGTGGTTAGCCAGCTGTCTGTTCCATGGGGAAATAAAATGTAGCTGTAAGAAAGGTTGGGGAAGCTCTTTCTGTGCTGGAATTGCTACACAAAACAGCCTGATACTGAACCATTAGTATAAAAAGAGGGTGATGAATGAATTCTTGTTTGCTTATGCGTGCAGAAAATGTTAGCTGTCTGTGGGAGGAAGTGGGCAACCTGTGGAAAAGGCATGGGGAAGGGAGAGACCTCTCAGTACTTCTGGTTTTCGGAGGCACCTGAAGGTATTGACCTATCTTTTAAAAAGCTGAAAAGTCCACCCAACGCAGTGGCCAAGCTGAAGGTGCTGAGTGAAGGGGAGGATTCCAGCAGGAAGCCTTTGGGTGAGGGAGCAGGCTTCAGGGCAGAGGCTGGGCCACAAAGCCAGAGAAATGTCTGGCCCTCCTCAGCAGGCAGCTGCAGCAGTTTTTTTATATAACCATGCCCTGAAGGCTCATGGGGACAACCAGAAATAGATACTTCCAGATCATGTTAGAATGAACAGATTCTTTCTCTCTTCTTCTGGGCTTTGGATAAAAATCAGGACAGATACTCAAAGAGGAAGTAGAACCTGAGTGGGTGACTGCACAAACAGTCCTTGCTCCAGAGCAAAGTGGAGGTGCCACGGGAACACCCCTGTCCTCCCCTCAGTGTGGTTCAGGGATCCCCAGGACCTGTTCATAAGGCACTGGGGGACGGAGACAGATCTTACTCTCGCCATGCTCTAAACTGGCGAGCCAGTGTGGAACCTGACAACATATGTCCATTCACTTATTCACAGGTATTTTTTTGTAGTTGTACAAGGACAACATGCCTTTATTTATTTTATTTTTATGTGGTGCTAAGGATCAGTGCCTCACACGTCTGAGCTGCAGCCCCAGCCCCTATTCATAGGTATTTGAATGTCTACCCGATGCTGGATATTGGTAGGTTGGTAGATGGTAAGATTACAGAAATAAAGGTGAGATGAAGCATGGTCCTCAGAACTTCTGCCTGCAGCAGGCCGCTCATGCCCAGCACTGTCTGCCTGCCTCGTAGGCAAGAGGATCTTCTTTTTTTGGTGGTGTGGTGCTAGGATTGGACCCAGTGCCTCATCCACAGTAGGTGAGTGCTCTACCACTGGGTGGCACTGCGCCTGCTCCAGCAGGAGGCCCAGTGTGGCTCTGGTGGCCTTCTCTGTGTCAAGCCTCCTCATCCCCTCAGTGGTTCTTCCTCTTGCTGTTGAGGAATTCCTTAATGGGAAAAAAAGTCCCAAATTTCTGGCTTGGCTAAGTTCTGTGCTTCCCTCAGGGCAGCATTGACTTGAGCCGCGTGGCTGTGATGGGACATTCATTTGGAGGGGCCACAGCTGTTCTGGCTTTGGCCAAGGAAGCCCAGTTTCGGTGAGTTTCCCAGTGATGCCGTTGCTCCTGCTCATTCATTCACTGTTGTGCTCATGTATCAGGAAGTGAGTGCTATGTTCTAGGTGTGTGTGGGGGGGGCTGGATATTCAGTGGTTACCAGATCTCTGCCTTCCTGGAATTATGTAGCTGTAGGAGGGACAGCCTGATGCAGAAGCTAGCAGATAGGGAGGCGCCTAGCACCTGAGTGCAGTGAAGAACATGAAACAGGCTGTTGAGCTGGACATGAAACAGGCTTCTCTAAGAGACATAAACAAGACGAAAGGCAAAGAGGCCAGCCGTGCAAAGGTCCAGAGGAAAGTCCTCCCCACTAGTGGGAACGACTAAGCAAAGGCCCTGAGGTGGACACATGCTGACTGTATCAGAGTGGGCGGAGCGTAGTGAGGGACAGGGGCGAGATGACAGGGCCTTTGGGCCAGGGGAGGGAAGCTTAGATTTTATTCTAAGTTCGAGGGGAGGCTAGTGAAAGATTTTAAACAAACAAACAAAAAAAAAAAATGCATCTTACTTTTAAAAAGTCTGTGGCTACTCTAGCTACTGTGCGAAGGATGGATGGTGTCAGGACCAGACTGAAGGCCAGAGGTGACTGTCAGTGTGAGCTGAGAAGTGAAGGATTTGCGTGAGGGTGGAGGGAGCCGGATGAGAGAAGTGAATGAAACATGGGGTGCACTTTGAGTTTCAGGGTTGAGTGAAGGAGGGGAAGTGGAGACTTTCCTTTGGGTGTCCATCATTTGAGATGGAGAAGATCCAGGTTGGGGTGGTAACTAATCGTAGGGCCATGGTTTTGCCCTCGGCACCGAGGAGGTCTTCCTGACCTCCCCTGCCAGGCCGGCCCTGGGCTCTCCCAGCACCTTTCGAATCGGGGCACTGAGCTGAGTGCCCGCTGCCTTGCCTGTCAGTCTTCCCTGCTGGCCTGGGAGCTTCCTGAGACTCAAGCAGAACTCTGTGTCCAGAGCACAGGGTTAAGCACCCAGCAGACGCTCCGTGAGCACTGAATGGGTGAGTGGCTGACTGAAGTGCCATTGTGCATGACTGGAGTCAGTGCCCCGAGAGCAGGTCCAGAGATGGAGGTCTGGTCCTTGCTGTCGGAGAGGATCTTTGGTAACTGGTAAATCCAGTATCCTAACTGAGGGGCCTGGGCCCTGGTACCTCCTCCCTGGCTTCCTGAGTCTTTAGCCCACTGGAGGGAAGCACCCCACCCTCCCCCACCACCCTGACTCTTCTTTCTATGTGGCAGCTCCAAATATCTGGTCCTCTTCCAGATGTGCTGTGGCCTTGGATGCTTGGATGTTTCCTCTGGAGCGTGACTTTTACCCCAAGGCCCGGGGCCCTGTGTTCTTTATCAATGCCGAGAAATTCCAGACAGTGGAGAGCGTCAACTTGATGAAGAAGATTTGCACCCAGCACAAGCAGTCCAGGATCATAACTGTCCTGTGAGTAAACCCCATGGGCAGGACCTCATGTCCTCTCCATTGACTCCCTTAATTTCTTCTGGATTGTCTCGTAGTATCTGGAATTAACAGAATACCCGAATAGCTCCTGAATTCCACAATCTTAATTCCTTTATAGTTTCTTCCCATCCCTCTTCTCCACTTAGCTCCACCTACAGGGATTTCTGCAGGAGTTGATCTGACTGGTGCTTTCTGGTAGAAGAGCATTGTGGGATTGCGTGTTGGAGAGGCAGGGGTGTGAGTCTGGGTGGGTTCCAGAGATCTCCGTACCCTTCTTGGAGTTTTGTTGGGTCTTTTGGAGAGTGTCTGTGGGAGACCTTTGACCTTCATCCATTGGAAGTTCCTTAGCACTTGCATGAACATTCGAATCTACAGATGTCACTCTAAAGTGTTCTTTTCTGTGACCTTCTGTATTCCAGCCAAACCACCTTCTCTTCACCTTCACCTCCAGCACCATCAGTTGGTTTTCTCCTGGGAGCCACTTTTCAGGAAGCAAACAATTTCTGGTGACTTAAAGACAATTGACTGTATAGGAGGTGACGAGGACCTTTTCAGAGACAGGACTGAAACCGCCCTGGCTTGATCCTGCCCTGCACGAGCCCAACAGCACACACATCAGGGGTCCCAATTCCCACTTCAGGAATGGGATGTGGCTGTGTGCCCAGACCTTCAGAGTCACTCGGTGGTTGGCATGTCCTGGCGCCAAGCCCCTGAACATCAGTCTGTTGACGGTCGGTGGCTTCTCCCCGGCCTGTCTTGGCCCAGGCTGTTCACTAGGACCAGCCCCTCCTCTTTCATTTTGGTTTCATGGCATTAGAGGGGACAGGACTGCTGGAATGTCTGTCCAGGCCAGACTCCAACATTTGTGACCACTGGGGAGAGGAGGGGAGGGAAGTTGGGACAGGGCATGCAAAGGGGACTTCTGGCGGGTGTTACTTCTTAAACTGCGTGCTGGATACCCAAATATATTATTCTATTCGTTTTTTTGCTCTCTTACCTTAAATAATGCATTTTTTCACATTTAAAAAATTATTTATTTATTTTTAGTTGGACACAATACCTTTGTTTTATTCATTTATTTTTATATGATCCTGAGGATCGAACCCAGGGCCTCGCACGTGTTAGGTGAGTGCTTTGATGCTGAGCCACAACCCCAGCCCTTTTTTCACATTTTTATTGGTGCATATTGATGGGATTTGCTGTTGCATATTTGCACACACACAACATAGCAATATAGTGTGGCCAGTTCACTCCCCGGCATTTTCTCCTTTCTGCCTCCTCCCTCCCACTTCCTGGCCCCTTTTCTCTACAATCTCCCTTGGATTTTCAGGAGATCCACCCCCAATTCTGTTTTTCTTTTTCCTCTTATTTAACATGATGGTCTCTAGTTCAAATAATGCATTTTTTTCCGGTGCTGGGATTAAACCCAGTGCCTTACACATGCCAGGCACACGCTCTACCACTGAACTGCACCCCCAGCCCAAGTAATGCATTTTTAAGAAATCATTTTTTTTTTTTTGCATGAGATCACACAGAAATGTAGCATTTAAATTTTCCATCCCTCGTTGAATTGAATAGTGAATTTAGTTATGAGTAATTTACCCTAAAATGAACCTTCTAGTAAGGATTTCACCTGTGAATTAAACATATTTAGAGGGCTGGGGGTGGAGCTTGGTGGTAGAGGGCTTCCCTAGCTTGCACAAAGCCCTGGGTTCCACCCCCCTGCACTGCAAAGTGCACAGTTGTGACAGGGAGCTGATGTGTGCGGTGAATGTTTGGCATTGAGGTCTGGTGATAACACCTGGGTTCAAATCCTAGCTCGGTGCCCTGTCCCCTGTGTCACCTTGGGAAGATCACTTCTCACATTCTGTTGAAGGGAAAAATACCTCCTAGACAGAGTTGCTGTGGAAATTATGCATGACGATGCATAGAAGCTTCTCAGACACACAGGTGCTCCGCGGGTGTGCCTCATCTCCAACCCTACCAATGCTTTCCTTTTCCTCTAGTGGTTCTGTTCATCGGAGTCAAACGGACTTTGCTTTTGTGACGGGCAACTTGCTTGTGAAATTCTTATCCACCCAAATCCGTGGGAGCTTGGACCCCTATCAAGGTCAGGAGATTATGGTGCAGGCCATGCTGGCCTTCCTGCAGAGGCATCTTGGTAAGAAGAGAGCTGGGGCCCAGGGGGCAGATGTGGGGTCCCTTAGAATTCACTACAGCACAGTGATCAGTACGAACATGGCTGAGCCCCAAGACAAGGAGTTACATAACATTGAAGAAAAAGCACGTGCCTGGAGGTTGGGGGACCCCGAGTCTGGCTCTTACTGGTCATTCAGCCTCGCTGAGCCTTGGTTCCTCACTGCAAATAGTGCGCTCACCTCTGCACTCCATCGCCACTGTCCTAACCCAGGCTTATCATCACTAATTTATCTGCATTGCGAGGGAGATTATGATAACTGAGCTAAATGCATGAAAGTTCTTTAAAGAAACCAAGCACGGAAGGATTGTGACTCATGACATAAGTCACTGTCAGCTAATTGGCAAGGCCTTTACGAGCTCTGGTCTCCTCCACCAGAGGGGCTGTCTTCCCCAGGGTGCCATCAAGCCCTCTCTGCCACTGGGAATGTGAATGGTTATAAGGGTTGATTCTAGTCTTTTAGTTGGAAAGACTACAAGTTCACTATCTTACCTTGAGAAAAAAGTGAAATTCATGTAAGGGAGGGCGCCTGGGCCAAGGGGCTAGTGCAGTTACATGAGCCAACATCACCTGCAGGACTGTCGTCTTGTCCCGTCTGTCTGGCCAGCTCAGCCTCTCTGACCTGTCCTCTCATGATGTCCACGTCTGTTCATCCAGGATGCCTTTTTCTTTCTTCCTGCTGTTTTTTCCTTGTGCTGATGGCGTCCGCTCGTTCATTCCACTCCTCCTACCCCTGGGTCTTTCCTTGTTGGCTCCCACTGCTCTCCGCCATGTTTTTAAAATGTCTTCATCCAGATTCTCAAGAGAGTCAGTTTGATCGCATCAGCATATCTTTGCCTGCCAAGGCACATTGTTGGCCACTGTTCCATCTAGTCCAGGCGTTCCCAAATCAGGTGTCTGATTGGAGGCCACCACCATCTGCCATCAGAAGGGAGCCGGGCTCGGCTGGACTCTTAAGGTTTGAAGCGTTTTCTAAACAAAATGAAGCTTGCTCTTGATCTTGACGGGAGAAGAGAGCTCCCAGGCAGGGAAGGGACGAGAGTCCCATGGGCAGTGGTCTTGATCAGTTTTGAGAAGCTCTCTGGTGTACCTGGAGCTCAGGATAATGAATTGTTGAAATGTAGAGGTAGAGAAGCGGGCAGAGGGCAGATGTAGAGCCCATGCGTTTGCTGAATCAGTTTGGGATTTATCCCACAGGCTAGGAGGAGCCCTTGGTGGTTCTAAGCAGGAGAACGTCACAGTTAGACTTTTAACGTAGTCTGCCTGCTGGAGGCCAGGAGGGCAGGGATGAGTTGAGAGGCAGCGAGCCCAGGTGGAAGGAGCTGGTAAGGTGGTGAGACGGCCTGGGCTGTTAGCTTGGCAAAGAGAAAAGCTTTTTTGGTGGCTGCTCAGTGTGTTGTCACATGGAAACTAAAATAGTCTGCAGGTGGCTCAGCTGCACCTCTAGCTCCTGAAAATACCATTCTGCTGATCCAGGATGTCACCTTTCAGGAAGAAGATGGCTGCTTGCTCTGTGTTCACTGTGCGCTCCCATCTCCAGCTCCTCAGCCTTCCACCCACTCTCCTGGAGGACTGTTCACACCTTCCCCTTCCTTCCCAAACCCCTGGCACCTCTTGCCTCAGCCTGTCTCTCAGCTCAGCAACTTTGCCTCCCACTTCAAGGCGACTGGAGGCGACTAGCACTTCCTCAGACCCCCGCAGCCCCTCCCCCGGGCCGGCTCTTCTGTCTGCTCAGGGTGGTCACAGCAGCAGCTTGTCCTCTACTTTAGATCATCCTTCTCTACTGGTTTATTTCATGCCAAAGTTTCTTCCTTAAAAACTAAAGAAATGGGGGAAAAAAAACCTGCCAGTTGCCATGACATATTCCTGTAACCCTAGTGACTTGGGTGCTGAGACAGATTGCAGCTTGAGGCCAGCCTGGGAGACATGAGACCCTGTCTCAAAATAAAAAATAAAGAAAGGCTGAGGACGTGGCTAAGTGGTAGCGAATCCCTGGGTTCAATCCTCAGGACCACAAGTTGAAGTAAAAAAAATAGAAACTCTGGGGCTGGGCTTGTGGCTCAGTGGTGGAGCACCTGCCCAGCATGTGTAAAGTCCTGGGTTCAGTCCCAACACTGCAAAACAAGCAGAAAAGAAAATTCTCGGACTGAGGATGTGGCTCAAGCGGTAGCGCGCTCGCCTGGCATGCGTGTGGTCCGGGTTCGATCCTCAGCACCACATACAAACAAAGATGTTGTGTCCGCCGATAACTGGAAAATAAATATTAAAAATTCTCAAAAAAAGAAAATTCTCCCGACTTCAGTATCCCCTCCAGTTATCACCCATTCCCTGTTCCCTCCAACTCTCAGAATGACATCTGTCTTTATTTGTCTAATTCCTTTCTTCTAATTCTCATCTATCTTAAGCACAGTCCTCTCAGGCTTCTGCAGTGCACTCCTTCATCAAAACTGCTGGGGTCAAGGTCCCCATGACCTTCACAATGTCAAATCCTTAGCCAGTTCCTGTTCCTCATCTCACTGCAACTCTGAGCAGCTCAGGGAGGGCTTGCTGCCTTTGCTTCTGGCGCTATAGATTGTCTCCTGTCTTGCTTCCCCCAGCCAGCCTTGCCACTTCCAGGGCTCAGTGCTTGGACCTTGGCTTAATGTATTTTCAAAAAATGCCTGATGCTGAGACTTTATAAAGAAAAGAGATCTATTTAGCAGTTATAGTTAGCAGGTATATTTAACAGTTCTGGAGATTGAAGAGCATGGTGCCAGCTCCATCCTTACAGTTAGTTCTTAGGTCAAAGATTGTCACTTCTAGAAGATCTCTCATCCAGTCCCTCAGAAATGGGCTGGGGATGTGGTTCAGTGGTAGAACACTTAACCTAGTATATCTAAGGCCCTGGGTTCAATCCCTAGCACCCCCCACCAACAAAAAGGAATATACGTCACCAGTCCCACAGCCCCATCCTGTCTGTCACCTCTCACCTCAGTTACTGCCAGTCTCCAGCCTGTCCCTCTTTCCCCCCATTGAGTCTTTTCTTAACAGAGCAGCCAGAGTGGTCCTTTTAGGAAGTTAGTCGGATCTTGTCACTCCTTTGCTCTCAATCTAACAGTGGCATTTCTCATTCCTTCTGGGCCTGTCTGATGTGACCGTCCTTCCTGGCCTCTGCTCCTACTGCTCTTCCCTTAGCCTACTTCACTCTCACCACATAAACCCTCAGTGTCAGGTACACTCCTGCCTCAGGGCCTTTGCATTGCTGCTCCCTCTGCCTGGAACATTCCTCCCTGATAGTCTCATGGCTCACTCCCACCTCCTTTAAGTCTCCACCTTGACTACCCTTTTTACATCACAGCACCCTCACCTCTGCCCTCAGCCTTGTCCCTCCCCACATACAGCACTTACTCCCTTTTTACATCCTCCATAATTTATTTTGTTTGAGTCTCTCTCTGCCCACTAGTTGATGAGCTCTCTAAAGACAGGGTTTCTGCCTCTTTTCTCTTGGATGTATTTTAAGCACTAAGAACAGAAGGTGGCACACAGTGGGTGTGTTCAATATTTTTTGAGTTAGTGACTATGTAGCGCTGATGTGTTGAGCAATTACTCCATGCCAGGCACTGGATACCCAAAGAGAAATGAGAATGGTCCCTCCCTTTGTCCCGGGTTCTGTTTGTCTTGATCGAGGCACCGTTTGCCCATTCAGCTGAACCCTCCTCCCTTGGCTAAAGAGCTTAGACCCTTTCTTTTTTAAATATTTTTTTAGTTGTAGATGGACAAAATATCTTTATTTATTTTTGTGTGGTGCTGAGATTTGAGCCCAGTGCCTCGCTTGCATGCAAGGCAAGTGCTCTACCACTGAGCCACAACCCCAGTCCCAGACCCTTTCTTTTTTTTTCTGGTGCTGGGGATTGAACCCAGGTGTGCACTACCACTGAGCTACACCTCCAGCCCTTTGGATTTTTTTTTGAGATAGGGTCTCACTAAGTTGCTGAGGCTGGCCTTGAACTCGAGATCCTCCTGACTGTTCTTGCCACGTGAGGCCCCTCTGCACGTGATCCCAGGGCCGCCTCTGGAGTTAATGCTGCTTTGTGGTATTGCTACTCTGGTGTTAATGCTGCTTTATGGTATTGCTACTCTGTGGCTTCTGCCTGGGATGACGTGGTAGTTGCACTCAGTGGCCATGTACTAGGATCTCTTCTTGTTTAGCAACATCCCTGAGCCTGGAAGCCGACTTTCCATTTTCTCTGCCTTCCTGTCCTGGGTGTAAATTTTGTCTCCAGCTCTTATCAGCTGCAGCTGACCTTGGGCAAATCAGGTTGGCTTCTCAACTATAAAATAGGGCTAACAGTGGCACTTAGCCCATAGGGTGATTGTGAAACACCATTCCCTGGAACGGTTCTGCTTCAGGGTGTATTGCCAGCTGTTACATCATTACTGAGTTGCCACAGATTAAGTCAGTCATTTATAAAGGCACAGAGTGATCGTTACTGCTCCCACCGTCACAACCACCAGCCAGTCCGTCTGGTATCCCAGGTGCTCCTCTCTGGGATGACCCCCGAGTCCCCGAGAGCTCCTCTTTGGCCTCACTTTACAATGATTTGCCTAACCTTCCTCTTCTTTCCCCTTTCAGACCTGAAAGAGAACTATGATCAATGGAACGACCTCATCGAAGGCATTGGACCGTCCCTCATCCCGGGGGCTCCACACCATCTGTCTAGTCTGTAGGCTCAACTGGCCATTTGTAAAAGGTCACTCGAGCTGAGCTTCCCGGGGCCACCCATAGCCTGTCGGGAGGGGTCCACAGGACTCTCTTTCACTGACTGAGAGGATTAATCACCCTGCTGATTGGATAGCTGGGTTCTTTGATCTTGGACTTGTTGATCTTAAACTCACTTTGTGACAGGGATCATTAACTGATGGACAAAGTGATTCTGTGGGACCCTGATGGTGTGGGGAACAAGCAGTGGGGGGGGTGGGGGGAGCGAGGGGAGAGCCGGGCCCCAGGCTGAGCCCTGTGGAGCCGGGAGGTGAAGACTCAGCCCCTACCCGGCCCAGCCTCCTGCCTCACCTTGGGCCAGTGCTGCTTCCTCTGTGGCAGAGCACAGAGGGAGACCTTCAGGGCTTCCTGCCTGCCTGGCACTTCCTCTCCCCGCCTCTCCACCTTCTCCCTCCCCAGGGCCACTTGGTGACACAGGCACTGTAGGTAATTTTCAAGGATACGGGCCATCACCAGATTTGCCATTTATTTTCAGTTTTTCTCATTGCGTGAAGCCTAGTTCTGGGCCTCAGTTATACCTCCAGCCCACGGGAGGCGGGTGGTATTGTTCTGACAGGGAGAGTCTCTGCAGGACAAAGGGGGTGCCTCAGAGTTCTGGGTGTTTGAGGGTTTTGCCAGGAAGCAAATGAGCAAGTTGGTTTGGGCAGAGAGGAGAGTAGTGCTGTCACCGTTAGCACAGGACTTGCCACAGAGGGAGGTAGTTTGGTCAGCTCAGACTCCGAGGCCACTCCTAGAGAAGTCTAGGATCAGCTCAGTTTTGCCTGTTACCTCAGATAACTTGAACCACCAACCTGCTCAGAAGCAGGGCGCTTTAAGTGGTCTTTCTTCTTTGCCTCAGGATCTGAGGCAAAAAAAAAAAAAAGAAAAAAGATGAAATTTCCTTTCTGTTCCATTTATAATTTGAATGATATCGATACTCACGTTTGCCTAATGATAGATTTGGAATATTCTCTCTCTTTAATCTGCATTAGATCAAGAGGGGGAGCCATCTGGAAGTTACTCTTCCTTCTGTCTCTCTTTGTTCACTAACCACGTGGGCCCTGTGTACAAGTGTTTGTAAGGAAAGGAAGACTCCAAGGCATCTAGTTCATCAGCCTGCAACTCCACCTCCACCTTCACGGCTCCTAGCCTCTGTCCTGGGAGGGGACCCGGAGCAGGCAGGAGCAAAAGGGAAGGGCATCTACACAGTAGTCCAAGTCAAGGGTCACCAAGCAAGCTGGAGGCTGAGCACAGTGGTGCACGCCTGTAGTCCCATGGTCCAGGAGGCTGAGGCAGGAGGATCACGAGTTCAAAGCCAGCCTCAGCAACTTAGTAAGACCCTGTTTCAAAAAATAAAAAGGGCTGGGGATGTGGCTCAGGGGTCAAGTGCCCTTGGGTTCAATCCCTGCTATCAAAAAACAGAAAAGCACACTGGAGGATCTGTGAATTTCGTGGCACCCTAGGAGCATCAGGAGGATGTCATTAAGTCCCAGGGATCTGGAGCTATATAGCCTGGTTTGGAGTCCTGGCTCCAACATTGCTAACTGGGTGAATGAGCAGATTTTATTCTCTTCCCAGTCTCAGTTCCTGCATTTCTAAAGTGAGGGTGTGCACTATGAAGAGTTGGAAGGATTAAGTGAGGGGTATATTTAACCCCTGGGTTATTAAAATTTATGTTTCCTACTTTCCAAACACATGAGGGTTTTCTAGCTGTAGGTATTATTTTCTCAATCAATTGCTTTGTGGTTAGAGAAAATGACCCACATGGTTTACATCCTTCAGCATTTGTTGAAACTTGATTGTTGGCCATGTGTGAGGTGCATTTTGTAAATATTCCATGCTTGAAAAGACTGGATTCTTTATGTGATGACACGCTCTTCCTCAACAACGCATCATGGATTTCCTTTCACAAGAGCATATTCAGATACACGGTAGGGCCCTCCAGCCCCCACGTGGGGACCAGAGTCCCTCAGCACTTACAAGATGATCCCTGGACCAGCCCTAAGGAGTTACCACCCAAATGCAGTAGCACTTGAGACCCTGCTTCTACCTGAGACCCATAAGTAATACAGGTATGTTTTGCAAAGCCCTCAACAGAAGGTCTGGGACCTCTCAGGAGAAAGGAATGGTTAGAAACGGGACCCTCTTCTCCATTCAGTTCAGCTATGACTCATTGGATTAGGTAGATTTTCCATCTAGGTTAAAATTACCCATTAAGCCACAGCATGTAATATTGACTCTTAGGAATGGGCATACCAAAGAGAACACCACTTCTTAGAGTGAACTGACCCATTTAATCTTTTAGGATTGTGTTAGGATAGACTAGATGATATGGTGCTAACAAGCAGCCCCCCCAAAAGCAATGAAAGTTTGTTTCTTGCCCTTGCTGCTTGTCCTCTGTGGGTCAGCTGTAGGCTCAGCTCAGTGTCATTTTTATCCTTATTCTGGGACCCAGGTGGATGAAGCACCTACCAGCTCCAAAAGCTTCTATCTAGAAGTGACACAGTTACCATTCATGTATTGTAAGTCAGAGTCCATTATCTGGCCATTCATAGCACCTCCTGCCATTCCAAGAGAGCCCAGATATCAGGGACCAGGTCTCATGTCAGAGCGGAGGAGACCTCTGGTCTCTGGGTGGTGGGTGTATTTGCACCTGCCCTCCAGCTCCCAGCAGCTGTCCTTTTAGTCCTCTTGATGGCTTTTCAGAGTTTGCGTTCTCTCCTGTGGTCATGCTGCCAGTTGTCACTCTTCCAAGCCTTTAATGTGCCAGCCACTAGCAGCCTCCCTCTTCACATCAAATTTGTGACTCCTTATGTCCGTGGGCTGAGAAATCAGCCACATTATTTGAAACTATGCATCAAGGAAAGCTGGACAGTCACAGAGGCTTTAGGGACCCTTCTACAACCAAGCCTGTTTCCTGTAGCTCAGGGTCTTTGTGGTCCCTCTGACTGCCGGGGAGGGATATCACGAGGCCTTTTGTCATTTGTTCTGCTTTTGGGTTAGCTGTGTCCCATCACAGCCAGATGCAAAGGCCAAGTGTCACTGGCCATAGCTGTGTGGCAGAATGACAGTGATGATCACAGTAATCACAGCCAGTGTTTCTCGAGCCCTGCTGTGTGGCAGGGACTGCACTCAGTGCTCTGAATGCATCCTGTACTTCTCACCGTAACCCCACGAGGTCAGGGGCATGAGCTTCATCTTACGCACAAGGAAACAAGCTTAGAGAAGCGATTTCATGACCGGAGCAACAATTTGGCAAAAGTGGGTCTTGGCATCAAAATCCAAGCTTCCCGTCACTGAGTCATAGTAATAGTACCTAAGAGACATACCTGGTTTTGCACTTGCTTTGGTTTCTTCAGACTGTCAGAGTATGGGCAATAAAACTTCATGATAGATTGAAATGTCAGGATCTCTGGCGATGTCTATGGCCCATATTGAGTTTCAGTGATAACTTTAGTGCTATTGAAAAGGGGGTTGGGGAGAGAACTGAGCCTCATGAGAACTCTGTAAGTCAGAGTCCATCTTCTGGCCTGTTGGTTTGATAAACCTGGAATGCAGGATTAAGAATGTGGGCTTCAGGGCTGGGCTTGTGGCTCAGTGGTAGAGCACTTGCCTTGTACATGTGAGACACTGGATTCAATCCTCAGCACCACATATAAATAAATAAAGGTATTGTGTCCATCTACAACTAAAAAATTTTTTAAAGAATGTTGTCTTCAAACTAAGCATGGTGGTGCACATCTGTAATCCCAGTAACTCAGGAGGCTGAGGCAGAAGAATTGCAGGTTCACAGCCAGCTTCAGTAATTTGGTGAGGCCCTAAGCAACTTAGTGAGACCCTGTCTCAAAACGCTCGGGGCTGGGGATATGGCTCAAGCGGTAGCGCGCTCGTCTGGCATGTGTGCGGCCTGGGTTCGATCCTCAGCACCACATACAATTTGTTGTGTCCGCCGAAAACTAAAAAATAAAATATTAAAAAATTCTCTCTCTCTCTTTAAAAAAAAACCAAAAACGCTGGGATGTGGCTCAGAGCCCCTGGGGTTAAAGCCCCAGTACAAAAAAAAAAAAAAAAGGAACATGGTCTTCAAAGTCAGCCCACTCTAACACTGTTAGCCTGTCACTGAATGCTTCTTTATCAACTTAACGTGACTTTGTGTGTGTGTGTGTGTGTGTGGTGTTGGGGACTGAACCCAGGAGTGCTCTACACTGAGGTACATCTCCTGCCCCTTTTTATTTGAGACAGGATCTTCCTAATTTGCAGAGGCTGACCTTGAACTTGCAATCCTCCTGCCTCAGCCTCCCAAGTAGCTAGAAATACCTGCTGTAAAATGCAAATCATAACAGTATCTCATCATATGATGTGATCATTAAACAAAGTAATGCATAATAATTACTCAGCATAGTGGCTGTATTAAGGGCTCAATATACATTCACTCTTACTAGTGTGGTTTCATTTGGTCCTCCTTACAGACCTGACAGGTTAGGTGTAATTTGCCCTAAATGGTCCCGCTGATCTTGGGTTAATTTCTCATTCTTGTATCTAAAGTTTCATGAAACCTTCTAACTGCCACTCAGTTGCTACCCTTGTGTTCTCCTGTCAGGTGGAGCTAGATGAAGAGAAACAGTTTCCCATTCTCTTTGTTCTGGTTTCCCTGCTTTAGACATCCAAAAATCTGCAGCCGTGTGTGGTGGTGTACGCCTGTCATCCCAGTGTCTTGGGAGGCTGGGGCAGGAGGATCACAAGTTCAAAGCCAGCCTTAGCAACTAAGTGAGGCCCTAAGCAACTTAGTGAGACTTTGTCTAAAAAATAAAAAAGGGATGGGCATGACCAGTGTAAGGCCCTTGCTTAGCATCTGGATGGCCATCTTAAGTGACAGCCTCCATTTTAAGAAAAATTTTGCTTTCCATCCTTGGGCCTTTCTGAGAAAGGCTCACCACTCCCTCATACCAACCCCACCCTTAATCACCCGCATTGGGACTCACCAGGCTCTAATCCCTGAGCCTGCCCGATAAAAGTCCAGAACCCCAAACCTGTGTTGCCTCTCTGTCTTTGGAGAGATGGCCTTTATTTGTCACCTGTATCTCTGCCTGGGCTCCATCTTTTGTTTCTCGCTTGCCTGTCTCTGGGTTCCTCGCTTTCCTTTCAACCAATGCGACTTGCCAAAATACGCTCTACTGTCATATATATATATATATAAAGAACAAATAGCAAAAGGAAATTTGAGGAAGAGAAAAAAGGCTGGGGATGTGGCTCAGTGGTTAAGCGCCCCTGGGCTCAATCCCTGGTACCAAAAAAAAAAAAATCAGAATCCATACCTGGTTCCAGCCCTGCAGGTCCTCTGTCACCAGGGGCACGCCACACAGGTTCTGGTCTGGGTTTTAAGTCACACCTAATCATCCACGTGCATTTATGCACTAGGTACCCACAGAAGGGTCTGAAATGTCAACTGGGAGAAGTGGGAGAGGCTCTGTGTAGCGTGGCCAAAGGGGAGGACCAGGCCAGGAAGATGGTAGCAGAGGCCACATGTGTTGATTTTTGTCTGTCTGCTTCAAGCCTGGGGTCAGGGGGTGAGGTGCCTTGTGTCCTCAGGAGACATCCCCCAGCCTGGGAAGGGCCTCTGCACAGTCCCTCCCTCCCTGCAGCATCCCCTTCCTGCCGAGCTCTCTCCCGTTCACTCCCCTGGGTGTTCTCCAGCAGCTGGCCCTGAACTAACGCTTACAGGCTCTGCTGCCAGGTGGGCCTGGCCGGGCCACATTGGAGCCCTGAGCTCCTTCCTCATTCCTTGTCACTTCACCTTCTCTTGCTCTGAGACCCTCTGTGTGTGTGTGACCCTGGACTTCAGCTTCCCTGTCTGTCAATGTGAGGTGGCCGTTGTTGAACTGGCTGATCTGTGAGTCCCTTCAGCTCTGGTGGGTTTCTGTCACTGGGTTCTTAAGATCTGCAGGATGCCCAGGGCATGGTGTGTGCCTGAAATCCCAGCGCTTGGGAGGCTGAGGTAGGAGGAAGGTTTCAAGTTCAAGGTCAGCCTCAGCAATTTAGGAAGACCCTGTCTCTAAAAAGGGCTGGGGGTGTGGCTCTGATTTGCAGGCTGCTTCTTTCCTGAGGAATTGAGCTCTTTTCCTCACTCTGCGTGGTCTTGCCCTTCCTCTCCTGCCCCCTATTTCTTGCTGAAAAAGTGCTCTTCTCTTCCATGGTCCCCTTCCATCGTCCCAGCAGACATTCACCCCCCTTCTCAACCATGTTTGCTTACTTTCAGATCTCCCCAGCCTCCTTTCTTTTCTATTTTTTTTTTAAACTCCTGAAAATTTTATATATATATATTTTTTTTAGCTGTAGATGGACACAATACCTTTATTTTGTTTATTTATTTTTATGTGGTGCTGAGGATGGAACCCAGCGCCTCACACATGCCAGGCAAGCACTCCGCCACTGAGCCCCAGCCCCAGCCCCAGCCTCCTCTCTGTACCAAGTACTGCTAGCGCTCAGACCCATTTCTAGTCCACCTCTTCTAAGAAAGCGTCCTGATTCAATTCAGCGAGCATTTGATCTCTGGCCCCCAGCTTCCCGGGAGAGCCACAGTCTGTGCCACCTCAGCATCGAACATGATTCCATTATTCCAGGAGCAGTCCCATCTGTGGCTGGGAAAGAGCAGCCTCCTGTTGAGTGGCATGGGGAAAGGGGATCCCTGCGCCCAGCCCCCCTCCGTTTCTTGTTCCCCAGCCAGGCTCGGGGCCCGCTGGGGTTGGCCCACTCTCATGTCTCCAGCTGCCCCTGCCCCCCTGTTTTTGGTTTCTCCAGATCCCAGCTGTGGAGCCACAGAGCCAGCGAGAGTTCAGCCAAGGGCGGCTCAGCGAACTTCAGCGTTACATGGACAAGTAGCATTTGGGAATTAAAAGCAGGGCAGAGCAGAGCCCAAATCACACCGTGTTGGAAACGAGGGGAAGCAGTTTGCTGGCTTATTTTTCCCATCTTGCTTTCATCTAAAAAAAGAAGCTACTTAGAAATACAGTCCCCCTCAGGCTGCTAAGCCAGATGGCCCCTAGATGCTCAGCCTGCCAAGTGTGTATATATAATTATTCATCTTCATGGAATCACACCCAAGTTTGAATTCAGTCACTGACACTTTTTTTTTTTTTTGCTACTTGATCTACAGCCAGTGATACCTTCTGAACTTTTGTTTCTTCTTCTGTAAAATGCCATCACTAGTGTCTGCTTTGCCCATCTCAGGGTGTTTTTGGTGGGATTGGGTGGACTCAATGTAAAATATAATAGCACTTTGTAATCTGCAAAGCACTAGACAAATCTCCTTTGCTGTTAATAAGAAAAAGTGCCATATTTTGTTTTTGTGGTAATGTGCTACTACTTAATGAGCACTTACTCTGTGCCAGATACTGTGCTAAGTGTTTTACATTCATTGTTTCATTTAATCCTAACCTCATCTCCATTCTGCAAACTAGGTGAGGATCAGAAAGATTTGCTGGCCCAGTCACATCATGCAGCACATAGGTGATGAAGCCAGGACTTGAGCCTAAATTGTGGGGCTCCAAGGCCAGTGCTTTTAACCCCTGTTCATTACTGTATTGCTCTTGCGTGCTCTAACACCCCCCCCCACACACACACACACAAAGTCCTTGATCCTATATAGACTAAAATAACCCACACTTTGTTCTCTAACTAAATACACTAAGCAATTGAGTCAACTGCTACATTTATTGAAGACCCGCCCGACTTGAGTCTCGACCATAAAGTGTTTTGCTCACAGTGAAGACGGGCTCCTCCCATCCATGCCTGCATCTCCTGTAAAGTGAACAATTCAGGACACAAACCCATTGGTGCTCTATCCTATAAACCAGGGAGCCAACCAGCTGGCAGAGAAATGTTTAAAAATCTCTTAACACATGTTGTAGGTTGGTGATTCCACATCACTAATCAGCATGCTCTAGATGCACATTGGGATCACTTGGAGCTAGATAGAGATACAGATGCCTTGGCCACGTCTCGGAGATCCAGAGATGCTGATTCCAGAAGGCTTAGTGTGGGCCAGTTTTGTGTACGGTAAGCTCTAGGCGTGTGCCTGATCTGCCGCCAAGCTTGGGAGCCTTCACTAGGACTTAGGCCTTTTAGCCTATTTTCTTTTAGGAACAAGAGTCAGTGCTGGTTGTAATAAAGAATCTTTCAACTATAGAATTGGAAAAGCAATTAAATGATTTAGTCTGTGGGAAGACCAGAGCTCTGAGAACTCTGAACTTTTGCACATGATTCCATTATCCAGGAACAGGAATGTGAGTACAGGAGGCAGGGATCACTGGAGCCATCTTGGAGGCTGGCTGCCCACAGGGTTGAAGATAAGTTCAGAGCGGGCAGTTAGCAGATCCTTGAATTAAAATCCAGTGCTGGGGGT